ATCATTATTATTCTTCTATCTTCTAAAGTGATAGATCGTGAGAGTTCGAGAGAGAGAGAGAGAGAGAGAGAGAGAGAGAGAGAAAGAATGAGAAAGCAAGCCACCAAATCCAAGACTCAAACCATAGTCAGTCGTGTGGGAGTCCATCACCTAAACCACCATGCCACCTGCTGGCCCTTGTACTAGGCATTTTAAACATTTTTAAAAATATTTTCACTGTTATCGTTTCAGAGAAAGAATGTTTTCATGTTGAGCTTAAGTGACAGAATCTACCTTTTAAGTAACTGATAGACTCTTCAGTAAGTAAATTTATCTATATATTGTTTACTATCCAATTTAGTTACTCTACTTCTGTATCTTGAATTGAGATGAGCTCCTTACGCAGCTTCACCACTGAGTAAGTATAAGAGAACCACAAAGTCTAAATTGACTAGATATCAACTATTTATCTTATTTTTGGTGTTCACACAAATTTATAAGATAATGAAGCAAAACCCAAAATTTCCCCAAGAAATGATGGTTCTCTAGTACGTCAGTGACTATGTAACTGCTTTACCTTCTTCGCGCTCTGATCTGAGAGGAGGTCCTCTCCGGTCTCTGTCATCTCTGAGATCTCGTCTTTCTCTTAGATCGCGTCGATCATCTCTCTCACGACGACGGTCATCCCTGTCCCTATCATCACGGCGACTTGAATCTCTCCAGCTCGAAGATTCCTCAGCTGGCCCTCTTCTCCAGCCACCTTCATCCCTGTAGTCATTTAAAATGACAAGTTATACTACATAATTTTAAGTGAATACATCATACACAAGTCAGTGCTAAGAATTTACAAATAAAACAGGGACAAAGTTTAAATAAATTCCTACCTTGACCTCAATCTGATACCCCAGGAATGGCAAGAACACCTAGGTCTATGCTGTCTCACAGTAGCCATTACCCACATATAGCTACTTAAACTTAATTAAAATAAAGCCAAGACATTTTCTCCACAGTACTAACCACATTCCAAGTGCCAAATGTGCCTGCTGGCTACCAGAATGGATGATAATACAGATACAGAACACTTTCATGCAGAAAACAGTATGTAACAGTGCTGGTCTAGATTTATCAGTACAAAGCCACTTTGGCAAAGGGAGCAAGCTAGAACTTTTACCACTAATATAAGTAAAGGGGCTTCTGCTAAATTAAAGGAAGTAAAACCGACTGCCCTAACTATAGGAAAAAAAAACAATGGACTGCTAAAACCGCCTAGACTGGTTCCATTCCCAAACAGCCAATACAACCTGTGGACAGTGACACAGTTGAAACTTCAATTTTTTCACTTTATGAGACAGTGTTATTAGATGACCTCTTGAATTTTTAAATCTGCACCATGATTCTAAGACTGATTCTAAATGAAGAGAAAAGGATGAGCACTATTTCTAAAAAACAGTTTGGGATAATAGGAGAGGCCTTAAGAAAATGCTAACTACAACTGTACAAACAGCATTATTAAAACATCAAACCTAGGTCTTCTGAAGCGATCTTCTCGATCCCCATCTCTCTCTCTGTCCCTTTCTCTTTCAGGGTCCTTGTCGTTCTCCTCACGATCTTGATTATCTCTCTCCCGTTCTTTTTCTCTATCCCATTCACGTTCTTCCGGTGGTCTTGATTCTCGAGGTGGACCCCAACTTTCTTCTCTAGCTTTTTCTTTCTCTCTCCATCCACCTACGTTTTTATATAGAAGCAAAATATTTTTGTCCACTCAAAAACAGATTGACAATCAAATAGATCATAATTTTGGCATTAATTTATCACCATTCTAAATGCTAGTTTAAGCACTCCAACTTCACATTTAAAAAAAAGTAAGGTTGTGTATGTTACTGATCAGGCATCATTAACAGGTTTTTTCCTAACTTACATGTCTATAGAAAACTTAAAGTGGTCTGGGTTGAGTGTTCCATTAAATAAAACAAGCACTGATAAACTTCTAATTTTTCCAGTACACGAAAAGATCTCAAGTATAAAATATGCTGAGATGGTAAACAGATCACTTCTTTAAGCAATTTTCTCTGATAGTGTCCCAATTAAAGTTCACTTTGTACCTTACAACATTTTCAAAGCCTTCACAGCCCCAAAAGAATAGTCCTGTCCTCCACCATTTACCATGTCCAATACAGTCAATAAAAAGGACAAATCCTTTGATCCTGCCCAGTTTAATCCAAGGGATGCCTTTATAAAAGAACATTTTTCATGTACGCACAGGCCAGAGAAAGCAAAGATTTTTCATGAAGGTGTATTATAGCTGCAATGCTAATAATTATTATTAAATAACACTAACATTCCTACATGCCAAAGCATTACTAAACCCTCTGCCTATATTAACTCAATCCTATAGTACCTCTGAGATAAGTAGTTGATGCTCATTGCTCACAGAGCCCGTATTTTGTAAATTTTGCTTACTTGCTAATTTGTTTATAACCTTAAAATACTCATGGCACTTTTATAGTCACCTGCAGACACATAATGAGCACCAAAACAATTACATATATGTATTTTGAATGTGCTAGAGTGCACATTGGTGCTTAGTTGCGCGGGTGGGGTGGGAGGAAGAAAGGCAGAGGGGTAAGGAGACAGAGAAGGGCACGGTCACTGACAATCAAATAGATCATAATTTTGGCATTAATTTATCACCATTCTAAATGCTAGTTTAAGCACTCCAACTTCACATTTAAAAAAAAGTAAGGTTGTGTATGTTACTGATCAGGCATCATTAACAGGTTTTTTCCTAACTTACATGTCTATAGAAAACTTAAAGTGGTCTGGGTTGAGAGTTCCATTAAATAAAACAAGCACTGATAAACTTCTAATTTTTCCAGTACACGAAAAGATCTCAAGTATAAAATATGCTGAGATGGTAAACAGATCACTTCTTTAAGCAATTTTCTCTGATAGTATCCCAATTAAAGTTCACTTTGTACCTTACAACATTTTCAAAGCCTTCACAGCCCCAAAAGAAGTAATAGTCCTGTCCTCCACCATTTACCATGTCCAATACAGTCAATAAAAAGGACAAATCCTTTGATCCTGCCCAGTTTAATCCAAGGGATGCCTTTATAAAAGAACATTTTTCATGTACGCACAGGCCAGAGAAAGCAAAGATTTTTCATGAAGGTGTATTATAGCTGCAATGCTAATAATTATTATTAAATAACACTAACATTCCTACATGCCAAAGCATTACTAAACCCTCTGCCTATATTAACTCAATCCTATAGTACCTCTGAGATAAGTAGTTGATGCTCATTGCTCACAGAGCCCGTATTTTGTAAATTTTGCTTACTTGCTAATTTGTTTATAACCTTAAAATACTCATGGCACTTTTATAGTCACCTGCAGACACATAATGAGCACCAAAACAATTACATATATGTATTTTGAATGTGCTAGAGTGCACATTGGTGCTTAGTTGCGCGGGTGGGGTGGGAGGAAGAAAGGCAGAGGGGTAAGGAGACAGAGAAGGGCACGGTCACACCACAATTTCCACTTCCTATGTCCTGTGAGGATTTGGGGCACACCCACACAGGCACCTCACATTTTTTTTCAAGCTGGCAGGGTCAGCACCAACCATGTGGGATACACCTCCCTTAACTATCAGGCCATGGGGTTAGCTCAGAGCAGCAGAAAGAGTTGCCTGAATACACTGCCAGTTGAGGCAGACATCACTGCCCTTGTTTCCGCTTTCTTTGTAAAGTGTCCTTTTTGGAGTCTATGTAGAGTGTCATGTTTTTCAACATCTTTGTGATTTTTTGGGTGGAAATGTGATGGTTTTAAATGGCTTCCAAGGCCAATGCTAATATTCTCTCTAGTGTTGCCTAAGCACAAAGCCAGGATGTGCCTCAGGGAGAAAATACACAGGTTAGATAAGCTCCATTCAGGCATGAATTATAGTACCGTTGGCCAAGAATTCAAAATTAACAATTTAAGAATATGTATTAAATATGGTATCTTTAAACAAATACATTAAACATGACTATGTATTAAGTTAGTTGACAAAAATGTCGTACCCAGAAGCTCACAGAAACCTTTCTTCTAGGAGCAATAGTTCAGCATTAAATGGCAACTACATAAAACATAATTACCATGAACTTATTAATAAGCATCTACCGTGGTATGAACCCCATTTACCATGAGGCAGAGAAAAGTAAATTTATTTGTCCAAGGTCACACAGCAGAACAGTAGGATGAATTCAGACTAGAAAAGACAAGAAGTATACAACAGAAATCACTAACGGTAAAGGCAAGGAAGCTGCTCCTCGAAATGAATGGCTGTTTACTATACAACAAGCAGAACTGATGGGGATGAGCCAAGTACAAGAATTCGAAGAAAAAACCATGATGTCCAGACCCATGTAAGCAGCAGGAAGAGAAGGGGGTAGACTTAAGGAACAGCAGAAAGACATTAAATAAATACCCAATACAAAAAATAAATAGAAACCAGAGTAAAAACCTTCCAGATTTCTAGCTTATACTGTTGAATAGATAGTGGTACTCCTGAAGAGAGCACAAGTAGGTGTGTGTTTGTGTATATCCAGTTTTGGACAGATTCAGTTTGAACTATGAGAATTCCAAATGGAGGTGTACTGTGTACAATATACAGATGTCACCAGAAAGTAGTATGCAGAAATCACCTGAAAGTGGTGGTAATTACGTGTATATCACAGACATGTATATAAGGGGATTTCAAAAAAGTTCTTGGAGGGCTGGCCTCATGGCCCAGTAGTTAAGAGAGCAAGGTATCACATGGCTATGTGCAGGACAGCCATTATCAGGCTGGATAGAACCTGAAGAACATACCAGTACTTAAAGGATGGGCATAGAAGCAATCTTCAAAGATTCAGTAAACACACCAGAAGGAAAATAAAGAGACTACTATCACTAAAGAAAGAGGGATGAGATTATTTTTGTTTCAGAATGCAGAACACTGAAGACAAACTTTTCATAAAGAAGTTGAGGCACGGACACTGAATGAACAATGAAAGATCCAGAAAGTGCTAACGTAGCCCAATCTGTTATTTATCCATTAAAATATTTCCTTCTATTAATAGAGGTAAACACATCAAACAGATTCTGTAATACATCCAATTTACCTTTGTAAATACAAAAATTTTACCTGGCTTGACAAATGGTCTCCAGGGACCAGGTCTTGAATCATCACTCCGTCTTGGGATCCGATCATCATCAGCACGTCTCGACATCCGGTCGTCATCCATGTTTCTCCAAGGCCCCCGGTCATCATCTGCACTGCGTCTCGGAATTCTATCATCATCAGCATTCCTCCAAGGTCCTCGATCATCATCTAACCCACGCCTGGGACCCCGGTCTTCATCCAAGCCCCTCCTTGGGCCCCGGTCATCATCAGCATTACGCCAGGATGATCGCTCATCATCAGCACCTCCTCGCCTTGGCCCCCGGTCCTCATCCATTCCACGTCTCGGTCCTCTGTCCTCATCAGCAGTTCGCCAGCTTCCCCTATCCTCATCCAGTCCTCGTCTAGGTGGTCTGTCATCATCTGCATGACGCCAGCTCCCTCTGTCCTCATCTGCAATTCGTCTGGGAGGCCTGTCATCATCCGCATTACGCCAGGAAGGCCGGTCATCGTCTGCCCCACGGCGAGAGAACCGATCTTCATCCAGACCACGTCTGGGGCCTCTGTCATCATCCATGCCTCGCCGGGGAATCCGATCATCATCAGGTCTAAGAGCAGATTCTCTCTCTTCATCTTCTCCCAAGCGCCTTGGTCTTTCTTCATCTCTTCTAAGAGGCCTGTCCTCATCTCGCCCTTCTCCACGTCTCCATTCCCTACAGAGGAGCAAGTCACACTTTTTTTAAGAGCAATTTTTTAAAAGATATATATGACCCTTTGGAAATTAACTTTAACTTCACTTGCTTTTAAAACTCACTAATTTTGGGACCAGCAGATGGCACAATGGTTATGTCACTGGACTCCCATGTAGTTGACCGCAGTTCAAGTCCTGGACCTGGTGGCGTAAAGCTCACCCTGGGCACATGTGTATGCGTGCCCAAGATCTTGAGAGAATGAAGGGACTGCGGTGTAGTCAATCCCCCCGGGAGGTGATTTCTCACTCTCTGTCCCTCCCTCTCTGGCAAGCACACCGCCCTACAACAAAAATCTCCCTCAAAAAAAAAAAAGAAAAGAAAACTCACTAAATTTATTCATCTTACATCTGAAAATAAAATATATGTTCTCCTAATAAAATATAACATGAAATCTATTATCTTACCTCAACAAACAGACCAAGAAGACAACTGCCTAAAAGTGCATCTGCGCTTTACTAGGAGTACTGTGGCAATTTCTAAATCTTTTGCAGTGAGCTTTCTAGACATTTTTTCCCTCTTTATGGGGCTAAGTGAATGAAGGGTAGGATAGTATTTTGATAGTTTCTCTGGATCACAATACTCCTGCCGCAGCCTCCTGATGAGCTAAATTACAGGGGAATCCAACTCTACCCAGCATATTCAAGGTGGTCCACAGGCTGAGCCTCCACGTAGTTCCCTGCCTCCCAAGTGGTGGCGTTTCCTGTGCACCACTGTGGCTGAGTCTAAACTTAATTTCGGTACAGGAATTAGAGCCAGCACCCTTGCCTACTATTAGCAGTTATTTTAAAGGACGGTTTAGTTGACTCAGGAAATCTCAAGGAAAAGAAATGCTTTATGGAACTGTTTATTCATACTCCAAACTCAATACTGGCCAGTATTTAAATAAAAAATCTGAAGCATGCAATTTTTCAAGGTGTTTAGAAGTCAGTAATCACAATAAGGTTCAAGTAAACTATAATCCCTCCTGACCCTTTCCCCATCCCTACAAAATAAACCCTATTAAAAAGCCACTGATGATGGCACCAGCAGTTAGCGTAATGGCTATGTCATTGGGCTCCCATGTATTTGATCACAGTTCGAGTCCCAGACCCGGTGGCTTAAACTCACACCAGGCATGTGTGCATGCCTGCCCAAGATCCCAAAAGGAGAATGGAGGAGAAGGGATTGCATTGTGGCCATCCCCCCTGGGGGTTGATTTCTCGCTTTCTGTCTCTCTGTATTTCTGGTGAGAGTACACCCCCTATAGCAAAAACCTCCCCACCCCCCCAAAGAAAAAAGCCACTAGGGTAAGATACTTATAAAGGGCTTCAGATTAAGTATACCATTTTCCATGGCTCTACTTACTTCTCTGGTGGGCCTCGTCTCCACTCAGAATCTGCTTCAGGGCCTTTTCTCCATGTGCCTTCTGAATCTCTGTCTCCCCAACGAGAGTCCTAATTCAACAGAGTTAACAAGAAGCATTACAGTGACAAGATTACCATCACAACTGCCAGTACAAGCCCTGCTCACTTAATGACCAAGTTCTGTCCCTACAACTAACTAGGTCTATGTTGTCACATCAGCTGGTCAAAAAGCACAGAGCTTTTGTCCTATGGTGTCCTGTGGCACCGTAAGGGATTTATTTTTCAGTAGATACCACGGGACACCACACTAGAATAACTTAATTCTACCCAAACATTTACATTTGATAAGTGCCAGAAAGCGACAAGACATACCACAAAAACGTAAACTCAGTGTAATCCTTTTTATTCGGAATACTATGAGTACACAATAAAGTACAAATTTATAAACAAAATATGAAGTTTTGCATGGTTACTAACATTTTGTATAGTAAATACTGACTGACTGCAAGAACAAGACAAAAACTGAGAAAGGGTATTCCTGAGATGCACACAGACTGAGAGAGGGGAGTCCCCATATTGGAGGACTGGGTGTTAAGTCCGTAAGTTCAATTAGTCATTAAACAGGTAGGTCATTTGCTAAGTGAGTTCTGGCTATATTACACATTCAACCATTTTTGTACTTACATGAAAAAATATAAAAAAGGGAGGTAAAAAATTTGCTTTTGAATCTTAAATTAGAAGACCTTACAATAAAACCGGTTTTCCTAAGTGAAGTAGCTACATGCCCTGATAAACCACCACTGGAAAGCAACCTGGGAATGCTTACCTAGAGATTTGACATACTCCCTCAAAAAATGACAACTGCCCTGAAATGGACATCATACCACAGTACATATTGAGTAAAAATAGGTGGAATGAATGAAATACCTACTAGGGGTTACATTACAGTAATTCTCTCTTCAAAAAATTATGCTGTCATGCTAAATATTATGAAAAACATATCAAGATATTCGATGCCCTCATGGTAAAAATGTAAATCTTGTTTGGGCTAAATTTATCTTATCTGAAATGCTTAGGACCAAAAATTCAGGGTTTTGGGACCAGCAGATGGTGTAATGGTTATGTTGCTGGACTCCCACATAGTCGACTACAGTTTGAGTCTCGGACTCGGCAGCTTAAAATTCATACCAGGTGCGTGTGCACAGTGCCCAAAATCCTGATAGGAGAATGGAGGAGAAGGGACTGCAGGAGTGATTTCTCGCTTTCTGTCTCTCGGTCTCCCCAGCGAGTACACACGCCCTATAGCAAAAATCTCTTAAAAAAAAATTAGGATTTTTGAATTTTGAGACACATGAGATAGCTTGGAAATGAGGCTCAATTCTGAATATGAAATTAATTTAAGTTCAATATATAACTTACATACCTAGCCTTAAGGTAATTTATACACTATTTTTTTTCAGTGTTTTGGGTTTTTTTTTTTTTAATAATTTTATTGAACTTATTTATTTGACCAGAGAGAGAGAGAAAGAGAGAGAAAGGTGAGGGAGAAGGAGGAAGAAAAGTGAGCAAGCAAAGTTGCCAGGTACAGGATTCGAACAGCGGTCAGCCATGTGGGAGTCCAACACCCTGAACCACCACACCACCTGCTGGCCCCGTACTACAATGTTCTTGGCTATGACACCTTAGGTTCAGACTGGGGACTGGCAGGTGGCATGATGGTTGGGGCATTGGACTCCCGGACTCCCACATGGCAGACCACAGTTCAAATCCTGGACCTGGTGGCTTACTTTCTCACCTTCTTTCTCACTCTGTCTGTCTCTCTCTCTCTCTCTTCTCTTTATAATAATAATAATTAATAAAATTAAGTAAATAATTGTTGGAAAATTTTCATTTGTACTGCATTGGATGCTCAATAAGTTTGAGAAGTGGGGACATTTTAGACTTTGGATTTTTGGATTGGGGTGCTTAAATTATACCACCTTTCTATGAGTCTATGCAATTTTAATCACCTCTGACACAGCTTAACTGCTCCTACAAATGTAACTAAACACCACAACCAGACACATTACAACTTTCCAGGAATAGTCCTGAGGCTTGATAGTTAAGGGAGCAGGATCCCATATGGCCCACTATAGTTTGAATCCCAGCCCCAAGAGGGCTTGGGAAATATGCCAGGCACATGTACAGGCATGCCTAAAAATCCCAACAGGATGACGAAATGAAGAAGGAATTATGGGATGACCATATCCCATTGAGGGGTGGTTTCCCCACCCCTCATCCCCATGAGCACATATGTCCTTCTGGAAACTTAAAAAAAAAAAATTTTCTGGAAGATAATTTAACACTAGATAGGGAGATGGGAAGAATAAAATAAAATTTAAAATCTACAATGCTGAAAATAACCTATAATACTGAACAGTTTATGAATAAGAGGACCTTTATGTAAAAATGTTCAGCATCATATTTGGTTATGAAACCCTCCATTAACAAATAGAGATGAGAAGCAGGTAAATAAAACAGTAAGAGTGGCCCAGTTAAATGGGTCCCCAGCCACCATAGATACTGACTGGGCTCTCATATTTTGAATTGGGGGTTATTTAAGAGACGTACCCAAATAGGTATTGTTTGAGAAAATACAAATTTTACAGATTACGTAATTTATGGTCACTATGATGGAAAGAACATCAACATTGAAGACACCGAGTGTCTCCTAGCCCTCACAATTGCCTTGTGAATTACAGTCAATGAAGAACTTAAGTTATTAAAGGATATGGTACAAAAATTAGAATTGAAAGATTTTTAAGGGCTATGACAGACATTAAAGAGACATAAAGATGCAATTCTAACAGGAATGTCAAAATATCTTAAACTCAGCAGATAAACCAGCAGAATGTACCCTGCTGCTGAAGAAATAAACTGACCAGGGATTTCAGAAAACTTCATACAGAAGGACAAAGAAATGAAAAGACTAGAAGAAATATTAAAATGATATAAAGATTCTGAAAAGGCAACAGTAAGTAGAGAAAAAGAAAAGTTTTCTAAGTGAAGAAAATTTTATCTTAAGGGAGACTTAATTTCCTGACTAAAAAGGCAAAAGTACCAAAAAGGATAACAAAAAAAGACTATGTAAGTCCTCAAAAGTCTCAAGAGAAATTTTGAACTCCCTTTACTGCAAGGATAGAGAAAGTAAGGAGTAAAACAGTATCTACACAAGTTACAAGCACGAGACTCATATCAAGAATCCTCCCCTCTGTAAAAGGTCTCTAAATTTCTGAGAAGATAATTTTGAACTGCACAAATCATTGATCCATTGTTCAACTGCGTGAGAAAAACAAAACCTCTTTTCCCACATACACAATGACATTCTGAAGAAAAATTAAAAAGATAATCTCCCCCAGAAAAAGTATCCCTAAAGGACAAAAAAAAAAAAAACATGATAAAGTGTGAACACATTTGAGAACTGTTTGCCTACATGACTGCAGAACTTGTAAGCAACTGTTAAATGAGTCTAAAGTAGAAAGACAACATGTTGTAATATTATAGCTCACTACAATAAAATATAAAGTATAAAAGTTATCTCAATCTACACTGTGAAAGTTCAGACACATTTGGGGAAAATTCACAGTAATCACAGAGAAAATTAAAAATGATCTGGGAAAAGTTCTTAAATTTGGATTAAAGAAAAAGGAAGAGTTATCAGGAACACACAAATAAAAAGTTCCAAACTACATGTTAAATACAAAACTATAGTAGTTACAACGTAAAATGCAAGCAGAACAAAGACAGAAGGGAAGGAAGGGTTTGACCACAAAATAGGAGGAGGTTGAAAATGAACAAAAACACAGATTTTCACATGCTAACTACAACAAATGAAAAAGTTGGAACTTCATAACCACAGCTGGTAAGTTTCCTCACTTTCCTAAGAAGTTCCAGCTCTGGAAATAAAATTAGAGATTAGCAACAAGAGTAACCAAACTAAAAATCTACCCACACCTAAGACAGAAACTAAAGACCACAGAGATAACTACTGCATGAGATCCTGCCACAAGGATATGCACTCGATACTAGTGTGGCACAGATAAAAGAGAAGAAAAGGCACAAAAGAAATCCTTGAGATACTGATGACATCATGCCTTTTTTTTCCCCCAAAAGTAATTATCAGAGCAGCCCCATGGTGCAGTGGTTAAAGTGTAGTGCACAGGGAGCCAATTCCAACAGGGCCAACTGAGGTTCAAATCCTAGCCTTGGCAGTTTAAAGAATACACACTCTGGGGACCACCAGACGGCATAATGGTTACGTTGCTGGACTCCCAAGTAGTAGACCTCAGTTCAAATGCCAGGCCTGGGGGCTTAAACTCATGTCGGGTGCATGTGTGTGCATGCCCAAGATCCTGAGAGAAGAATGAAGGAGAAGGGATTGCAGTATGACCATCCACTCTGGCCAGTGATTTCTTACTTTCTGTCTATCTGTCTCTCCAGCCAGTGATAAGAGAAACAGAGGAAAAAGAACTGGATGAGGATCACATCCCTTAGGGAGGTGCTTTCTCTCTTTGTCCTCTCTCTGGCAAGCACAGACCCTCTAGTGATAAAAATAAGAGTAACAAGCAATGTTCTGTGTAAAAAGCAAAGTGGCTACATCTCAAACAAAAGCAGTAGCATGCAGATAAATATCACAGATACCTAAGACCAAAAACTACCCCAGAATGACTGGAGCATGGTGACCAAGGAGAAACTGTTGACAGACGAAAGATGAAAAGGGAGCAAACATGAAGGCTCTAAATGTTAAAGCATGTGTTAAATTTGGCTCCCAGTATCAATCAAAGAAAGGTTGAAATCAAAGAGTAAGTGTAAGGGCAAACACACTATGAAAAAAATCAAATGGGCCACAATGTAAAAGGTCTGAAGCTAGGATATGATTATTAACAGGCAGACTAGTAAGGAGACAAGAGAGTAATACAGGCAAAAGAAAAATCTGAATTAAGTCATTAATACAGGAAGGGATAGGTAAAAAAGGAGGGATAAATTAAAATCTGTTATAATGGGTGACAACACTATCCACCAGAGGAGGGAATTCAAAAGAAAACAAGAAAGAAGAGGGAACCTAGGTCAATTTGAACATGAATGCATATTACAAATAAAGGAAATGCCACCAGCCCTGTATCCTAGTGGTTAATGGAGACAGATGTCACATGGCTGACCACGGTTAAAATTCTAGCCCCCAAGGCTTGAAAAACAGGCCAGGCACATGGGTACCCAAAATCCTGACAAGATGGAGAGGTGAACGAGAAGGGATTACAGCATAAACACGTCCCATTCAGGGGATGCCTTCTCCCTCTCTTTGGCTAGGGCCATATACAAGACTGAAAGACAAATCAAGAGGGACCAAATGGTAACGCAGCAATAAAACATGATATGATGCTCTGCAAGCTGACCCACATGAAGTCATAAACTGCAGATTCTGATTAAGGTTTGGGATAGGCCTGTAAAGCTGCATTATAGCTCCCAGGCTATGGTGATGCTGATGCTGATGCTGATGTTGATGCTGACGCTGCCCACCCACCAAATTCACATTCCCTTCTTTCAAGGGACTCAAGTATAGACCCTGTTCTGTAGTACTAAGAAGTGCTGTGAACAAAACTCTTGGTTTCAAGATACTCATTCTTATTGTCAAGTACAAGAAAGCTTCAGTAAGTCTGGAAAAATGGAATTAAAGCATGAGTTTACTTTGGTGCAAAAAATTTTTTAAATATATGCAGATTTTTGATAATGCACATTTTCCATGAACTTCTTAGAAGACCTTCATATTCCTGACTAGTCTAAAGCCTCTAAAACTCCCGCTTTGTGAGATTAAACACATTAAGCCCACAGGTACTATTCAAAATACACATATTTTATCAGTTTATAACATCACATTAAAACAGAAAAAATTCTATCATTTCTATACTTACCTTCCTAGACAGTGGGTCATCACCGAGTCTTCTCTCTTCCTCTCTACGACGTTCTCTTTCTTCAATTTCCAATTCCCTTTGGCGTTTTTTCCTTTCCACTTCTTCTAATTTTTTGACCCTCTCTTGATACTCTCGTAGCTCTTCTTCACGTTTGGCTCGTTCAGCACGCTCTCTCTCTTCTCGCTCTACACATACAAATTTATTAGGTTATTAAGTGTACTTCCTATCCTTATCTGTTTTCCAGTGCTAGATCTATTTCTCTGGTATTAAATAGGCAGCACATATTAGAACAAACTTGGAGAATTTTAAAATAGTTTCCTCTCAGTTAAATGGCAGAAGACGGTAAGAGAAAACAAGTATTATGTTACTCAACATTAATGGTTTTGTAGGGCCAGCCTCTGAAGTGGTGGTTAAGGAAGCTGGATTCCACACGGCCAACTGTGCAGTTCAAGTCCCATACCTGGCAGCTCGAAAACCACACCAGGTGTGTGTGCATTAATATATGCCTAAAATCTTGGGAAGAGAAGGGATGGATGGGGGGCCATCCTCCCAGGGAGTGCTTTGTCACTTTCCTTCTCTCTGAGAAATACATACACACTATAGCAATATTTAAAAATGTTAAAAGTCTTGTGAATGAGGCTGGCTCCATGCCCTGCTAGATCCCACATGGGCAACTTACATGGTTTGAAAACAGACCATACACGTGTGCAAGCCCAATTCCAACAGAACAAAGAAATGGAAAAGGGATCACAATGTGGCCAACACCACTGGTACTCTGTCCCCTTTCCTCCCAACCCCCACCATGGGGAACACAGGGGCCCTCTGGCAAAAAATGTATTAAAAAAAAAAAAAAGGGAACCAGCAGTTATCGTAATGGCTATGTCGCTGGACTCCCACGTAGTAGACCACGGTTCGCATCCCAGACCCGGTGGCTTAAAACTCACGCCGGGCGCGTGTGCATGCATGCCCAAGATCCCGAGAGGAGAATGGAGGGGAAGGGATTGCGGCGTGACCATCCCCTCTGGGGGGTGATTTCTCGCTTTCTTTCTCTGTCTCTCTCTGTCTAGTGAGCGCACGCAATCTATAGTGAAAATCTCTCCAAAAGAAGAAAAAGAAAAAGAAAACTACACTAAAGTCCCTCTCCCATTCCTGAGCATCTATTCCTACCCATCGAGGACACCAGATACAGGATCACCTGAAAGCCTTCACCTGGCATGCATTCCTCAACAAATGTAAATGTGGCACAGGATACAGTGTTAAGAACAAAATGATAGCATTCATTTTAAAAGAACATTGAAATGTGGACACAAGCAAGCAGAGAACATAACATCTTCAGATATGACAAACTAGGTTCTGAGATCTTATCAGTTACAGCACTAAGAGATCAATTATCCTAATTCCTCTATTTTTTAAAATAAAATCACTGGAGACGGAAACGAACATCCACTTTGTACTACTACCGCCTCCCTGACCATAATCTAATAGGTTGTCAGAAAAGTCATGATGTATTTTTCAATGTTTTTCTAGTTAAGAATGAGTTATCACTTTTCTGACAACCCAATATTAAGTTACCTTTTAGCATTTGCTCTTCTGCCCTCCTCTGTTCCTCCTCCTCCTTTTCTCTGTAGTAAGTTACTCTGCGTTCTTCTTTCCGCTGCCTTTTGCGTTCTTCCAAACGATTATGCCTTTCTTCTGCTAATCGCTCTTCAAACTGTTTAAGTTTTTCCTGGAATTGAATAGTTACAAAAAGAAAAATACACACATTCACTAGTTAAAATACTAGCAGTAAGCTTTTAAGTTTACAACTGACTCAAACTTCTTGGTTCCACAAAAATAAAAAAAATGAGAACTTCCAGATATGTCAATGTTAATCAGCATGCTAAATTTACAAAAATTTAAACTGTTTACAATATCATCTACATCCACTGGGTTATACCTTTATACAAAATAATAAAATTGTACGAGCAGGTGGCATAGTGGTTAAGGTGCTAGATCCCACATGGCTGACTCTGTGGCTGCAGTCCTGAAAAATCAACACACCATTTGTGTATGTGTGTGCCCAAAATCCCAGGAAGAGGGACCAGCAGTTACCGTAATGGCAATGTCACTGGACTCCCATGTAGTCAACCGCGGTTCGAGTCCCAGACCAGGTAGCTTAAAACTCACGCTGGGCACATGTGTTTGCGTGTCCAAGATCCAGAAAGGAGAATGGAGGAGAAGGGATTGCAGCGTGGCTGTCTGTCTGGTGAGTGCACGCGCCCTATAGCAAAAAAAACCTCTCCTAAAATCCCAGGAAGAGAAGGGAGGAAAAGGGATTTTGGCATAGTAACCCGCCAATAGGGGACAAGTGGTGATTTCAAAGCAATGTGATCTAGTTTTCCTTACTTCTGAATCAAACAATAAACAAAAGCTTGTATCAAAGGAGACGGCATCATAAACAAAGCTTTAACTTTAGAAAACTTTGTCCAGACACACACAGAAAAGATCCTGGGTTTGTATCCCAGGACCTCCCTGAGCACACTGGCATGCAAGTGTATGCTTGTGGTCCAGGTAGGCTCAGTGTGGGGGTGGATCAGGATGTGGTGACCCTGTTGGGGATGCCTGTTTCTCCCTTTCTTTGTCTCTTTGAAGGAAGAAAATAGGCTTATAAAATTGATACAGCTTTCAAAATGTTTTCCAAATTTTCCTCTAAAATACTTTTCAATGACTATTGTACATGTTAACCCAGAATTACCACTGTAATAAAGACTCAAGACAAAACTCAAGAGCTCATGAATAACATCTCCCCTAAAACCAGTAACTTCACCTCATAAACAGACTGCCGTGCAGCTTTAAGTCGCATCACAAATAAATCTCTGTCTTCAAGCATTCGTGACATCCGATTCTTATGTTCAAGAGCTTTTTCACGTTCTAGCTGCATTGTAGTAATCTGAAAGTACACGATACGCAGTTGAATTTCAAAGCACTCATTATTCAATTACTAATTTACCCCAAATAACTGATTTTTTCATGAAAAAAATCAAAATCTCCTCTGCCTCTTCCCTCGTCCCATAAAAATGGAAGTGTGACCTATCATCAGGTGCATCCAAGAAGGCAATTAAAGACAAGAAATGAATAAAACTGTCCTGAGAAATCCATAAGATACAGTTATTATATCCTCATAGTATTGAAAATTTTTATAAAGGAGAAACTGTACTATAAAAGTACCTATTCCTGGGACCAGCAGGTGGCATGGTGATTAGGATGCAGGACTCCCACACGGCCAACCACAATTTGAGTCCTGGACCTAGTGGCTTGCGTTCTTACTTTCCCTTTCGCCCTCTCTCTCTCTCTCTCTCTGGTCACATTAAATAATAATAATAGCAAATGGAATTAAACAAATATAATTTTTTGAAGTACTTATTCCTGAAAAACTGATTACAGGGCTAGCTAGGTGTATGGTGGTTAGGGTGGTTGGATATCAATTTGACCAACTGCGCAGTTCAAGTTTCAAACCATGAGTCTTTAAGAACATGACAGGCGTGTGTGCGTGTCTGCTAAAATCCTAAGAGACAACAGAAGAAAAGGTGCTGCACACTGGCCATCCCCTCCCTGGAGGGGTGATCAAACTGCACGTGCCCCCCAGGTCCCCTCTTTCTCCAGTGAGCACTTGTGTCCCATGTCAAAAATGAGCAAACAAACCAAAAACCGGGCCAGCAAGTGGGGTGGGGGACTGGATCATATATGATCAAGTGCACAGTTGAATTATCAGACCTGACTTAGGAAATAAGCCTGGAGCACACCCACTCAAACTCCCAATGGAGAAGAGACTGCAATGTAGTTATCCCCCATGGGGGTGCTTTGACTTTCCCTCTCTACTTATCTATCCCCCCACCACACATGCACACAGTGAGCACAGCTGTCCTCCAGCAAATTGTGGCAAATAAAAGGGGGATAAAAGATATTAAAGTGACCAGCAGGTGACATAGTTACATAGCTGGACTCCCAATGACCAAGATTCGAGACCCGAACCTGGTGGTTTGAAACTCACACCAATCTCACAAGTGTTGTTTGTCTATGTGCGTGCATGTGTGCATGCCCAAGAACTCAGAAGAAGAGAGAAGGGAGAAGGGACTATGGCATGGCCATCGCCCCTCTCCCCGAGGGTGATATCTCACTCTCCCTCTCATTGTTTCTGTGTCTCTCTAAACGGCACATGTACCCTAAGGCAAAAACCTCTAAAATAACAACAAAAATAATTTTCATTTTTTTGTTTTAATTTGGGAGGGTTAGAGGGGCCAGTCAATGGCACAATAGTAGCATAACTGGACTGAAATGGGAAGGTTCTACTTGGTTTGTGTCCTATAAGTTCACTGTACATTGGGAAGACCATAACCCAGGCTAGCTGAAACTAGGGGTGGCCCTTGGTGTGAAGATCCTCTTGGGAGTACCTGGATAAACCACGTGTACGTGCGTGCGCGCGTGTGTGTATGTATGTATATCTATCACTCTCTCTCATGAAAGAAATAACTTTAATAAAAAAACACACAAACAAAAAACTGGAGACTAAGGCACGGTACAAAAGGCTCTGTTTTATGCCCTAATAAAAGACGTGGGAGCCCCAAGATCTTCCCAAATATTTGATTTGGTCTACAATGCTTTTCTTTTTTCTAGTCTTAATAATTTACACATCAAGAGTAACCATTTATATATCATTATTAACAAAAACCATTATTAGCAAATCTAATAAAAATTCCAACTTAAAATTGTGGGGAGAACAGGCAACACTAGGCTCATCATAATCTACAAGTGACAACAATCAAATGAAAACAAAGACTGTATTCTCCACACCAGCATTCCCACATATGTGTACTATTTCCTACTTAGGGTTGCCTTTTTTTTTTAAATCAAGAATCAGCTCACTTTCATCTTATTTCATTTTATTAGAAACACTGGTAAACTCTGGTTTTATATCCTCAGGTAAATAGAGACTAAGAAAAAGTTAAATTTAACTTTTGTGCAGCCTGCAGGTAGAGTGGTGGTTAAGGGCACTGAACTCCCACATGGCCGATTATGGTTGCAGTCCAGGATCTGGCAGCTTGCTTTCTCATTTTCTTCTCTCTCTGGTCAAATTAAAATAAGTAAATAAAATAATTCTTTAAAAAAAATTTAACTTTTGTTTAGCCATAAACGATCACAGTATATGACTCCATTATGTGAATTTCCAGGCAAATCCAGAGACAGAATGAGTGACTGCCTAGAACTGAGGTGGTAGAGAGAAAATGGGGCGTGACTGCTAAGTGGTCGTTTCTTTTGGGAAATATCTCCAAAATTAGATTGTGGTGTTGGTCGTAAGATTCGGAAGTAAACTGAAAACCAAAAACTGTATACATATACCATAAAATTAACTGAATTGAAGTGTACAGAATGCTGTTTTAAAAACAGATTTTGGTGACCAGCAGGTGGCATGGTGGTTAAGGAACTGGACATTCCCACATGGCCGATCACAGTTTGAGAGCCAGACTTGGTGGTTTGCTTTCTCACTTTCCCTCTCTCTCCCTCCCTCTCTCTCTCTGTCTCTGTCTCTCTCTGGTCAAATTAAAATAAATAGAATAATAAATAAGTCTTTTTTTTTTTTTTAACTGAGATTTTGGTCCAGCAGATAGCACAGTGGTTATGGTCCTGGACACCAACATGGTCAACTACAGTTCGAGACCCAGATCTGGTGCTTGCTTTCTCCCTCTCTCTCTGTTTCTCTGCTCAAACAAAAATAATAATAACAATAACAACAATAATAATAATAAATAAAATTAAGTAAGTGATTCTTTATTAAAAAAAAAAAAAACGAATCTTGGGACCAGCAGTTAGCATATTGGCTATGTCACTGGAGTCCCACGCAGTCGACCGCGGTTCGAGTCCCAGACCCAGTGGCTTAAATTCACGCCAGGCACGTATGCGTGCGTGCCCAAGATCCCGAGAGGAGAATGGAGGAGAAGGGATTGTGGCATGGTCATCCACCCTGGGGGGTGATTTCTCGCTTTCTGTCTCTCTGTCTCTCTCTCTCTCTGTCTGGCGAGCACACGCACCCTATAGCAAAAAAAACTATCCAAAACTTGGGACCAGCAGTTAGCATATCGGCTATGTCACTGGAGTCCCACGCAGTCAACCGCGGTTCGAGTCCCAGACCCGGTGGCTTAAATTCACGCCAGGCACGTATGCGTGCGTGCCCAAGATCCCGAGAGGAGAATGGAGGAGAAGGGATTGTGGCATGGTCATCCACCCTGGGGGGTGATTTCTCGCTTTCTGTCTCTCTGTCTCTCTCTCTCTCTGTCTGGCGAGCACACGCACCCTATAGCAAAAAAAACTATCCAAAAAAAGAAAAAAAAAAATCTAAGTTTTTCAGTTGTCCTTTGTGTCTTCCTAGTTTCACTTTTTATTATTATTTTATTTAACTTTATTTACTATTTTCCAGTTTGATCAGAGAAAGAAAGATGGAAAGTGAGAAAGCAAGCCACTAGATTCACGACTTGAACTGCAATCAGCCATGTGAGAGTCCAGCACCTTTAAACAAGCCATCTGCTGGCTCCCTTAGTTTCATTTTTAATCTCTATGTGAAAGTATCTATCTTTGCACCAATGGGTTAGTAGCAGACATTAAAACACAATCTCTAGCAAAAGAATATAAAAATCACTCAATTTAGAAACCCTGGTTTCTAAATTGCATTACTAGCAAAGGACTTAATTGTTGCTTACACTCTAAAATATTTTATAAAAATTAAAAACTTACTCTTTCTTCTTCTTGTTGTTCCCAAAGATCCATGTCTTTAATTCTTTGTTCCTCATAAGCACTCTTTATCAAAGGAATTTCTTCCAAACGTTTAGCTCTTTCAAAATAGTCAATCTGAATGACATAAAAACAAATGTATAGTTTACCCTTCAACTCAAAATTATTCTTACCAGTAACAGTTGAATAACACTTTTTTGTATGCTATTTATACTATATATTATATTTTCATAATAAAACAGAAAAAAGAAACTATATTAAGAAAATCCTGGGGCTGGCAGGTGGCGTGGTGGTTAAAGGCACTGGACTTCCACATAGCCGATCATGACTCAAGTCCCGGATCTGGAAGTTTACTTTCTCACTTGCCCTCTCAATTTCTCATTCCGTCCCTCTCTGGTCAAATATAAATAAATAAATAAAGTTAAATAAAATAATTGTTTAAAAGAAAAAAAAAAAACCTAAAGGACCCAGCCAGGTAGCACAGTCCACAGTGTACTACACTGCAATACTGAGAGCTGTACTGCTGACACCTGAGGTTCAGATACTCAGTCACCCTCAAAATACAATGGCTGTGCATGGACATCCAAGACCCTGATAGACTGGAGGGATAGAGAAAGACGATCACACAAGAGTCTTTGTGGAAAGTGTTTTCTCTTTCCTCCTCATGTATGCAACGTTGTTTTAAAAAATTAAATTTAAGCAAAAGAAGGAAGAGAAAATACATTTACAGTATTTTTTAAAAATCTAGGTGTAAGTGGACTCACACAGCTAAAACCTGAATTTCCTTAAAGGTCAACTATTTTTTTTAAGTGCTTTAATTTGGTACATTAAACATTTACTGCTCCTTTCATTTACCTTCTTCTCTTGATTTTTTAGGCGTTCTTGAAGTTCTTTCTTTTCTTTTTCTAGTTGTTCAACCTGCTTAGCCATGATAAAATCTGGATCCAATTCTTCAAGGTCCTGAAAGGTAATACAAATGAATTGTTGTTAAAAAAGATACAGAAGAAATGCCTATCAATATGGCACACCACTTACCAAAATCAAATCCTAAATTATTTTAAATTTAATTTTAATTATATTTTAAGTTTACGATAGGACACACGTGCTCACTAGAGAGAAACGATAGACAGAGAAATGGGAACACATTGGCTGTGTGGGAGTCCAGCACCTTAAACACTATGTCACTTGCTGGCCTCCCTAAATTACTTTTCATGAAAGATGTTCATTAGAAAATGTAAAGCTGGGACCAGCAGTTAGTGTAATGGCTATGTCGCTGGACTCCCATGTAGTCAACCACAGTTAAAGCACCAGACCCAGTGGCTTAAACTCACGCCGTACGCATGTGCATGTGTGCCCAAGATCCTGAGAGGAGAATGGAGGAGATGGGACTGTGGTGTGGCTATCCCCCCTGGGGAATGATTTCTCGTTGTCTGTCTCTCTCACAAGTGCACACACCCTATAGCAAAAATCTCCCCCCAAAAAAGAAAAAGAACACGTAGAGCTATTGTCCAACAGCCTTAAAACCCATTTAATTGCAGAGGAAAGAAAATACACATTATCTTAGCATCTATTGTTCACTCTTCCAATCTACCCAAACTCTACAGTCATAAATACATGGTGGTTAAAAACAGCACACAGGGGGAACCAGTAGATGGTGTAATGGCTATGTCACTGGACTCCCATGTAGTTGACTGTGGTTCAAGTCTCAGACCCGGTGGCTTAAACTCATGCCGAGCAGGGGTACGTGTGTGCCCATGATCCTAAGAGGAGAATGGAGAAAAGACTGTGGCGCAGCCATCGCCCCTGGGGGGTGATTTCTCGCTTTCTGTCTCTCTGTCTGTCTTTCTGGCGAGCGCACGTGCCCTATAGCAAAAGCCTCTCCC